TTGGCAAAGGGTCCCTGCACCTTGTGAGAAGTACGAATTTGGACTCCACGCTCACTCATGGTGCAGGTCTGAAGTCTAAATTCCTCTGGGCTGCTTTCTCTCCCCTGATTTTAGGTGGATGGATGGCTTCTTTGATGTTTCTCCCAGTCAGTTTCACAGAAGCAGTCTTTTGGGATTGCTGGCTTTTTGCAAGATGGTTATCTTTAGTTCCCAACAAGGATACGACCTGAAGCTTGTATTTAAAAAAAGATTAAAGAAGACAATTTAGAGGATACAAAAAAAACTTTATTTAACACTTCATGAAGTGGACAGTCTCCATTTGGAGAACCACAAAAATGGGGTAGAAAAAATGGGTTTATATGATAAAGAATAAAGATCAGGGAAGAAAAAAATAGAAAGTATCAGAGTAGCTGGAGCCACATAGTCACCCTTCTTTGGCATGAGAAAGAATAAGGAAATAAATATAGGACCCAGAGTTAACTTGCATCTGGGGATTGGCTGATTGGGAGATACTGCATTTCCACTCAAGTGGAGCATTTACAGGGACATGAAAATTATCATTTAAGTTTCAGTTTGCTGACCTGGCACCCCGGCTCCATTCTGGGCCTAGAAGTTCACTTCATATTTTAGTGTCTTCACTACTGTCAGAACCCCAAGACCCAAAAGTTAACGCCTATAAACCCTCGCCTCCTTCATCTGTAGCTCTTGTTCACTACTGAGACTTTAAGTAGACTCTTCACTTCTGGCACCCAAGGATTTCATTCTCTTAGTTTTAAGCTTTTTTTTTTTTTTTCTTATATTTTATCTAGAATTTCCTTTTTTTTTTTTTTTTTTTGAGGGAATGGTTTTGAAACAGTTTCATATCCATCTTTCCATCCCCCTGCTCCTTACTTCCCTCTACCACCCAGCAAACACCCACTCTCCACCCATTAATTCCATGTTGTCTTTTCCCTCCCTTCTCTAGATTCTCCATTGCAAACACCCAGAAATGAGGTCAGGCGACTAGAATCTTCCTTAGAAGGGTCTTTCTTACTGGGTACTTGAAGTAGAAAAGGCTGGAAACATCCGTAGATATGTAACGTGAAGGCTGTTATCCTGCTGCTTATAACTAATCCAGTGAGTGATTGAATGGACTTTAAAAGATGTAAAATCAGAGTCATTCATGTAAAGACAGAATTTTTGCTGCATTCTTCCCCTATTACAAAAGTCTTTCAGGGAGGATACACCACTGGGCACAAAGTTAAAATATTTCATTTCAAAGTTTTACTAGCAAGGTTTCAGGATGGTGATTTTCTTCATAAAATAGGGAAGTAGCAGGATCTGAAGACAAAAGGCAAAGTTCAGCCTAAAAACATGCTATATGAAGGAGTTAAATTTTCCTTTTTCTTAGACTCCTGGTTATAGGCATATTTTGCATCCATTTTGAATCTTCTCCCTACATTCTAATTGCTTCCACTGAGCCAGTAGCCTTCAGCACAGTCCTCTTAACATAACCTTCCCCTCATCACTTCTCCTTTGAATTTCACACAACAGTGAGGTACAACAGTTGGAGGTGGGATAATTCTGGAGTTTAAGGTGGTATCTGTCCTGCCACAAGATAAGCAGGGGCACAAGGCAAATGTAAGAGAAGCACAAAGAGGCATCTGCAATATGAATCACTTAGGAGGGGACTTAAGGGTATTAATGATGACGGTAATAGTCGCTGGCACTGATCGCATCATATCATTTACCAGGCATTAACCTAAGCGCTTTGCATAGACAACATCATTTCGATCTAACACTAGCTACTATGGCTATTTCCAGTTTACAAATTAGGAAATGGAGACAGAGTGTTAAAATAACTTTCTCAAGGTCAGACAACTTGTGACTAGTAAGAAAGTGACAGAGAAAGGGGGGAAAAGGCAAGGAGAACCCTAGAGTTGCTCAGGAATCCCAAGCAGCTGGAGCTCGTGGACCATCTATTTATTGTGCTGCAGATCTGTCATAACGCCTTCAGTCTCCAAGTCTCTTCATTCCCAATTTCAAATCCCAAAAGAGTGCATCCAATAGGCCCAGCTCTGGTCTGTCCCTGGTAAATTACTGAGCGAGGATCAGAAAGTGCAGTAATGTACTACAGATATGGACACATCTATATATGAGCCGTGCTGCCTAGAAACGTGGTAGTGGGGGTAAATGGGTAGCCACCCCAAGAAGCATCTCCTGTACAACCTAACAATGTAAGAAAGTATCATGTGTGTATGTGTACCATGTTCTGCAGCTGATATATGATCCAAGAATAAGAATTACATTCATTAAAATGTATAGCATGTATGTTTTTATTATTTTTTGGTTTCTCTAAAGTGTGTATGTATATTCAATGAACTGGGATCCATCTATTATTTCATTTTCCTTAATATGGAAAACTCCCTGAAGAAACTCAGTTTTCACTGAAATGATAAGCCTTCAATTTGTTACTCTTATTTCTCACAGCATGCTATTCTCGCTACTCTGAATAACCACCTGCTGAAAACAGTGAAAACTGCTAGATTAAAAAAAAATCAAATGTAACTGGTAAGAAATGAACTGGTAAGAAATGAAGGAATTCTCATAGAGGAACTAAAGAAAGAAAGGAAGCAAAATGAGAGGATCCTGAGAATAATTAAAGGCCAAAGTGGGATGTTGCTAAGAGATTATCTGTCAAATTCTGGACACCTACAGCTCCTGCTTTTGTAGCTGTGCAGCATGCCAAGGCCAGGAAAGAAAGCCAAGAATTCATCTAAGAGGAGGAATCTAACAGGGGGCAAAAATTTGAGGCCCCAAAAGGCTGCATTCCCAGTGTAAGCGTGAATGAGAAAGAGATCTGATGCACAAGTCAGTAAAGAAACATGGTTGACTTGACCTTGGAATCCAGAAAAGGAAGATAAAATCTCTTCTGAGAATGTCCTCTGAGATTCAAATCCAAGCCACTTGGATCTGAGGACAAATGAAATCTATCTGTGCAGTCCAAACACTTTAAGTGGAAAATTTAATCTGGTTGTAGGGTTAATGGTGCCTCCATGCAACTTTCAGAAGCAAATACTGTCTAGGAAACCTCAATTTTAACTCTGGCCTTAGAGAATCCTGACAGTTGCAACCCCAGAAACTTGAGTGCAGAATCCAAAATCATAACCTACAAAGAAATAGACACCATGAGCAAAAGCTAGAAGAAACTACAAACAGCACAAAAACCCAAAAACTTTCAGTTTGGGATGTAACAGACACAGAACATAGACCATTTAACATTTATGTTGTTAATCTTACGTTAATTTGTATAAGAAATTAGAAAATGGTTCAAAAAGAACTAAATAGAATTTGTAAAAATAAAAAGCTATTTGAAAATATTGAGATGGACCATATGAAAGACCAAAAAAAAAAAGAAAAACGGGGGGGGGGAGGATAAAGTGAGAAGGTCTTAGAGACGTCCCATAGATATTCTAAGAGATAACGGAGAAAATAGAAAACAAGCAAATAGAAGAGATAATGGTTAATAATTTTCTGCAGTTTTTCCAGGACACTAATCCTGAGATGCAGCAATCCTTTAAAATCCTAAGCATGGCTTAAGCGTTTTTTGAATAGTAAGAAGGAAGAAGAGAAAGAAAGAAAGAAAGAAAGAAAGAAATGACTAGATTCCTAGATTCACCACTGATAAACCACAAAAACATCCAACAAATCTTAAAGGCAGCCAGAAGAAACGAACGGAGGGAAGGAGTGGAGGAAGAACACTGAAAGCACTATATTTTACATAGAAGCACAGCAAGTAAACTAGGTTATTATTAGAATTGAGGTAAGTTTCCTTTGACATTCATCAATATGACAGATAAGTATCCCGAATAAAAGCAATGGAAAAAAGTCTTGAGTATAAGAAAAGGTTAAGTCTTGAGTATAAGAAAAGGTAAGTGGAAACTCAAATGCATAAAATGTTTCAACTCCAATCTGAAAAACATAAAAACAGAACATTAAATTATGATCCAAAGACAAATTTTCCCAAAAAACGAAAAGAGGTATGACAGGTGGGAAAAAACAAACAAACAAACAATCCCCAATCTTTACTGAGTGCAAACGTTTTTAAGAAAAAGGAAATTGACCAGTGAAGATCTAAATATATCAACGGGTGTGAAATTTTGGGGAGGAGCCAAAAGGTAGAAAAAGACACAGCCCAGGACTATAGACAGCCAATACAGGCTATTTACTTAACATAATCTAAGTTATTCTTAGGATAGTTCATTAGATATTAAGTCTTCATCCGTTATTTCTGCTTGCTCACTATTTCGTTTTTTTCTCTTTGGCGGGGGAGGGGGTGCAGGTTCTACGTATAGATTAATTACATTACGATGACGATGAGAGAGCGCAAAATAAAATATGCAAGAGGCTGTCGAGGGCTACCTGTATCTTTTAATATGGGAAATTCATATTCACCCCATATACTTAGTGACACTGTTTTAGTTACAAGGAAGCCCACCAGAAGTCCCATTTATATTTTCAGCAGTGGACACCAAGGATAAATTCCAACAAAGAGTTCTGTTTTAAACAGTCCAAATCGTCCGAACTTTGATGATTATTCTAGCGTCAGAACATTTTCTATTTGCTTGGCACTATTTGAAATCTATGACTCACAAACGCCAGGGCATGGAATTGTTGCAGTAAAGAACAGGTGAAAAGTTGTTCCTAGTTGTGTTCTGCAGGCGCATACAACTCCCGTCGTTCCCTGTGAAAAAATCAACAAATAAACAGAGGCACCGCATTTCAGATTCTCTTGCGCACCGTTCGCAAGGACGACTGGTTTTTGTAGTTTCTACACGGGTAACTGCCAAGCATATTCATCCTTGCTGGGAGGGAATCAAACTACACTTCCCATAAAGGCGCGGGGGCGGCCTCTGGTCGGCTTACGTCATTGCTTGAGCCAACCAATGACAGCTCCGGGCGGCAGTGAGGCAAGCGCCGTCAGGCGCCAAAGTGGTTTTTTTTTTTCTTTTTTTTTTTTTTTTTTTTTTTCCGCCGAAGCTGAGCGGGTGCTGCTAGCGGAGGCGCCATATTGGAAGGGACAAACTCCGGCGACAGCGAGTGACACAAATAAACCCCGGGACCCCCTCGTTCCCCCAGCTCTAAGGGCCGCGATGTTGTACCTAGAGGACTATCTGGAAAGTGAGTGGGCGGCGCTGGCGGGGGCCATCTGTGGGACCTGCGGGCTGGCAAGAGCGCGAGTGGACGGGCAGACGGGATGGCGGGAGGGAGGGGGAGGCGGGGGATGTTTCTTTCTCACGGTAACTGGCAGCCTCGCTGTGGGCTGCCGGCTCCTTCGACCCCCCCCGACGCACGCACGCACGCACGCAGGACGTAAGCGCGTACTTTCGCCGTTGGCCCCGCCCCTCTGACGGTCTCTCCCTTTGACAGTGATTGAGCAGCTTCCAATGGACCTGCGGGACCGCTTCACAGAGATGCGCGAGATGGACCTGCAGGTGCAGAGTAAGTCGGCGCGTTTGCCCGTCTTGGCCGCGCGCGTTCAGTGCCAGACTTACTTGCCATCGACTTCATCGCCTCTGCTGTTTGACTGTCCTCTGGCTCACTGGCTAGTGCATAAGGAGTTGTAAAAAAGAAAAGGCAGTTCCGAATCTTGCCTCTTGCTTTCCACGCTACTTTTCTCCTTGCTTTTTACAAGAGGAGGAGGCATTAGGGCACGTGTATGTGTTCCTTTCTCGAATTCAAGACTCTGCAATAAAAGTTTGTATACCTTCAGTGAGAACGTAGATACATATCTTAATACACATCGGTGTAAACGTTGAGAAGATTTTGACTTGAGCCCTTACGTATGGAACATAGATTTCAGCATCTATACTTTTGTTAAAGTTCGTTCTACTCGAACATTTTCAAGAACGGAAAACACAGAAGCATAGGTTATATGCGGTTGTTTAGTGACCTGGTGAACTTGGAATGTCAGATTTTGAAAAGTTACAGGATACATTCTGTAAAAGTATACATTCTGAAAAGTTATAGGATACATTCTCACTTGTCAACAGGATGGTATTTTTTCAATCAAAATGAGTGAGGGAAATAGATTCTACTGTAAAGGTTTCTATCTGTTGTAATAAAAATTTTGACTTTTCTTCTATCAGCGATAGCTTGGTAGTCTGGTTACTTTATCCCAAAGTTAATGTTGTTCTTTCATAGAGCAGTATTTGGTTTATCTGATCATTTTTCCTGTGAGGTTTCTAAAAAAGAGTTTATGGTTCAAAGAAGTAAAGAATCAGTGTTTATGGAGATAAGAAGGTAAATACTTAGAGCGAAATTACACTTAAAATTACATTTAAAATGAGTACAAACTTATGTCCACCATGCTTTAAAAGAACCTCACAAACCTTCCCCTTTTATGAAATGAATGTAAATAGCTGTTCCAATTGTCTTGTAGAGCTACTGTATTAAAAATTAAGAGTGTGAAATGAATTATACATTACATAATTAACATGTACAATCAGGTGTACTCTTATGGCTGGATGTTACTCTGTTCAGATGTAGGTACTCCTTAATTAAATTGTATAAATGACAGTAATGCCTGGCCTTCATGGGGTCTATCCTCAGAAAATCTGTTTCTTGATCCCATTTATTCCAGCTATGTTTAGGCTATATACATAAAATGTTTCTCATGCTTCCAGGTTTTTTTCTTAGAAAAGTAGAGGTGGAAGAAGATCTGGGTTTGGGGGTATAATTGGGAGGAAAGGGGTATCTTGGAAAGAGATCAGAGAACCAGCATTTCTTGAGGTAGCTAAGGACCTGTCCTTTCTCCCCCTTGCTTCTCTGCCTCCCGGCCCACAACTACTGCCATACCCATTGTTCATGAATATACTTGTCACAGCCTCTTGTCAGTTTCATGTGGCCATGCTTAATACAAGGTGATATGATATGGAAGCCTTCTTTTATTCAGTGGACTGTAGTGTAGAAGTCTGAATTGTGTATTTCTTTAGCTTTTAAAATTGATTTTAGCTTTAATGTAGTCGAAATGCTAACATAGTATTGTCTGCAGGTTTTGATGTCAGATAGATCTGAGTTCATATTAGAGTTTTCCTGACTTATTTTTTGACCTTGACCATGGTTTTCATTGTCTATAAAATGAAAATTATCTGAGGATTTAAAATAACACAGTTAAATTAGAACTTACAGTATTTGATACAAAGTAGGAATTCAATAAAGGATAACATATTATACTTCTTCATTGTTACTACAAATTTTATATTTTCTTTGATTTGTACTTAGATTATGTAAATGAGAGGTTTTATAAACTTGCATTTTATAATAATTAGAATTTTCTTAAGTTAATAGGTGCTATGGATTAATAAAAGAGACTTACTTATAAAATTAGTTAGAAATTGCTTATTTAAACAAAGAAAATTTAAAAATCACCATAAGACTTATTAGAATCTTTAAAAACCTATTATTGCCCTGAAAATCTCCAAAAGGTTTTCCTTCACTAACATAACAGAATCACTTTTTTTTTTTTTTAACTTTTCCTTTTTTACTAGATATGGAATGAGATGAGTATTCTTGGCACACACTTAGGGAAAAAATTTATCTAGAATAAATAATACAGTGTATCAACTGAACAAATTATTGTAACTTCTACTTTCAAGTCATGATATGAAATGATGGAGTGCTTAAAGCCGTATAGTGGGAGGTTAAAATCTTTTTATTACTTTTTCTTATTAAAAGAAAGGTGAGGATTATCCATTGGTACTTTTAATAAGAAATTGTGCTTTAGCACATTCGGCTGATTAATACCATTAGCTTTTGACCTGAAGGCTGTACTATTGAAATAATGTGGTGTAGAACCTATCTACGTTGTTGACTACTGGAAACATTTTGAAGTAACAAATGCAAATTGTTGGAGAAAATTGTAACTTTTTTTTTTATGGGAGTAATTAAACCATTTACATAATCAAAGCATGACATATTTAAATAAGTTATTGGCCAAGTAGAAGAGTGTGTGTTGTCAGATATTTTTTTCTTTCCCCAAATCAAAGCATGTATATTAGTATATGAATTTAGTCATCTAAATATGAAATGTTTTTATTATGTCATAGATGCAATGGATCAACTAGAACAAAGAGTCAGTGAATTCTTTATGAATGCAAAGAAAAATAAACCGGAGTGGAGAGAAGAACAAATGGCATCCATCAAAAAAGTATGTTCAACATTCTGGATGATCTATCAGTAAATATCGGCATCCTCTGAGAAAGATTTTAAAATGAAATTGTTTTCTGGATATCAAAATGAGGGAAAGTTATCAATGGCTCTTTAGAATTTATATAATTTGTGTTTTAGAACTTCAGGTGTAGCAATTTTTAATCATTTTGGTAATTTAAAATCTGTTTCAATAATTAACAACTTTTATTAGAGAATTATAGAATCATCAAAAGTCCATATTTGTCTTTTAATTTATTTTATTCTGGTTACAGCTAATTAAGCTTGCCTTGTTTTCACAGACATTACATTGCCTTCCAGTTTGGGCCACAAACTGGGGTGAAAATTAGCTGACCTTGAAGCATATTTTATATATTGCTAGGTACCTGAGTTGGTAGAATTGCAGAAGAACAGAATCTTAAGAGTTGAAAGGATCCTTAAAAAGTCTTTTAGTTTAAAACTCTAAATTTGTACATGAATGGAGACTAGAAATACAGAATTTCTTGTGTTTTGTGATTAGTTTGTAGTACTTACATGTCTCTTCCAGATTAGAATGAATATCAGATCTCTTCCCAAGATTTTCTGTAAATGTATGACCCAGTATAATTGGGGTACATTGGAAGAACTACATAAAAAGCCTGGGTTTGGTCATGACTGCCATTTAGCTGTGTGACATTGGATAGGTTCTTTAATATCTCTGAGTGGTAATGGCTCCCTCATCCCTAACCTTCTTAGAATTGTTCAAAAATCAACCGAGAAAGAAATTTGAAAACTACAGATTTAGAGTATTGTGTAATTTATTTTGCCACATGGAGGGGAGCCCGGAATGGGTTCTGGCTTGAAAGATACCTGGAGGCCCCATGTATATGAGTATAAATGTTATCTCACATCTATACAGGTGACCCTTGAACAGGATTTTGTTTTTCATAAATACAGTGCAGTACTGCAAATGTATTTTCTTAATAACTTTTTTTCTCTAGCTTACTTTATCGTAAGAATACAGAATATAATACACAAAATACGCATTAATTTGCTATTTATGTTGTTGGTAAAGGATTCTGGTCGACAGTTGGCTATTAGCTGTTAAGCTTTTAGTCAGAAACTTATATGTGGATTTTCAACTACATGGGGGACACCGTGTTCAAGGGTCACCTCTGCAATGCAAATCAGTCATCATCCCTTTAACCTATTAAGTTTTTGGTGTAGAACAACTTGGCTACACACTGAAAAGCCTGGTTCTCCATGAGAATTGATAGAATCATGTTTTTGTTTTTAAATGATTTGCTTATACTGAGGAGAAATCTAAAGTATAAGTTTAATTGTATAAATTAATACCTAACTTATAATGAGAGTTCAAAAAAAAAAAAAAGAAAATGCGAGGTCTAGGGGTGACTGGGTGGCTCAGTGGGTTAAAGCCTCTCTGCCTTTGGCCCAGGTCATGATCCCAGGGTCCTGGGATCGAGCCCCGCATCAGGTTCTCCGCTCAGCAGAGAGCCTGCTTCCCCTCCGCCTGCCTGTCTGCCTACTTGTGATCTCTCTCTCTCTGTCAAATAAATAAATAAAATTTTTAAAAAAATGGGGAGAGCAAATATTCTTTATAAATTAAACAAATTGTAATATTTTCTGTGAAAGAAAGAATATTCATTAGTTCATGTAACGTTTACTAGCTTAGAGGCTAGACTTGGACTGGTATTTAATTTTACTTATATCTTTTTTAGGAATGCTGAACATCTTCCTTTAATTCTTGTTCATTGTACATAATTTCTAATCCTACCCCATCCCCATCCTATCCTTAACTGGGTTTTTATTGCTAATGTAAGGTGACCGACATTGAATGCAAGTTATGATAATGAAAATTCAGTTATATGTGCTGAATATACATATTTTCAAATTATTAATTTATTATTGAAACTGTTTTTATTCAGGATTACTATAAAGCTTTGGAAGATGCAGATGAGAAGGTACAATTGGCAAATCAGATATATGACTTGGTAAGTAAAATTAATGTGCATGCTATGCCATAAGGACTTAAATTATGGGTTACGTCTTAAGTTTTGTTGGCTTAAATATTAATAGGAAGAATAGACTACATTTTGAGGTACTGCTTTCTTCATTTCATTTTCTTCATTTGAGCTTTCAGTGTCTATTTTTTGGTTTCTTTGTGGAGAAGAAACTAAAACTGTCAGAGTCCATAGTTTTAGTCGATACGTCAAAAACCTTACGTTTTAGACAAATTTACATTATTATAAGATTTTAGCAGATGTTAGACTTTTTTTTAAAACAAGAATTGGTGTTTAAATTTATTTTACTAATACTTATCTTAAGGTAGTATATTTACTTACCTGATAAATCATCTTGAGATTGTTTCTGTGGTAATAAAATACACGTAAGACTACTGTGTTGACAAGACTTTTTAGTTGCCTGATTAAATGAAGAAGAGAATCATTTGAGTCCGTGTTAAGAGATAGTACTCAACTATCTGTTAAGTGATGTCAAATAGGTAACACTCACCAACTGGCTCAGGTGGCAAAAATGGGAAACACTTGATTACAAAAAGTTCTTTTTTTTGCAGTAGCAATACTTGCAAGGGTTTAAAATCACTATAAGACAGAGGCACTATAATTATGAAGCTCTCTTTTATGTAAAGCATCTTCTAAAATATATACTTTAGGAAATACTCATTTCTGGTTCTGCTTCACAGCAAGTTAAAGCTAAAAACAAATGGACACTTATGGCTAACTTTAGCATATAGATTTCATGTCTATTTTTGTAATCTTCTCTGGATATAGTCTTATTACTAAACAAGTATATATAAATATAAATGTTACTGGTTATAGACACAAGATAAAAGAAGGTACATACCACATATGGTATACATTGTAGATGATATAGAAAACTAGAAAACATTTGCCATGTGAAGCCATAGGAAATGTTTCCTTGTTCTCATACAGCAGAAATTTTTAATGGCTGTAATAACCTAGGCTCTTTTGTTCATGCAGTTATTTTGAAAACAATTTCATAAAAGATAAAATGCCTTAAGAAGGACAGAGTAAACTATAGCTTGATTTACTATGGAATTGAAAAAAAAGAAGTTCTTAATTGTTTTGGTCTTGAATTATGTCTGTAAACACAGAGAAAGACATTTATATTTGAATCCAAGAGAAATTTCTTTAGTAATATTGCGCCTCATGTTTAATGATTATATGTGTCAGTCTTTATTTAGAGACTGCCTGCATTTTAAATCTTATAGCTCTTTGGCTATGCTTTTTATTTATATTTTGTTATTTTAGTACTTTTTATAATTTAAAAAAATTCAGTGTATTTCAAACATTTAGAAAAATATGTCTAATATAAATATGTTCTCTTTAAATATGTGTGGATTTTTGGTGTGTATCTATTCATTATTTATGAACCACGCTGTTTATTCACTCTTGTGCTTCGTATAATGGAGTTTTATCTGCACATAACAGAGGAACAAGGTGTACATACTACGAATGGCTTCTGTTCTCAAGGTGTTGGTAAACTAGTTAGGAAGACATGTGCACAAATGAAGTGAGGAGCCTGTATAGAAACGTGGAATAAAGATTATTACAGTTAAATATGAAGAATCTGGTAAAAGACTGAGCTAACTCATGTAGAGTATTGTTAACTTCTTAGAGGATATGAGATGAGTTTTAAACAGAATTTATTCAGAAGCTCTGGGACTTGGTTTAGGTGTTATATCGAGGGGAAAGGAGTTCACTCAGAGATATGGATAAACATAGAATGAAAATAAAACTTAGTAAATTCTTTGAATGGGATAGATCTTTTAGGCTAGGCTGTTAGGTAGTAGAAGGTGATGTGATGAATTGAATGAAATGTAATAAAAAGCAAGTGCCCATAATGGATCCACACAAACATGAGTTCATTCACTTCACTGATAGCAGGACTTTGGATAAGTTACTTAATCCCAAAATCTTAGTTTCCTTATCTGTAAAATAGCAATATTAATTTGTGCCTTAACAGGAGGATTTTACACATGTCTATAAAATGATCTTAGCTTGTGAGAGCGCCACGCTGCTTCCCTTTCAGCTCTGCCAAGTGGCACCCTGTTTCTTCCCCCTTCCCCCAGTTATTTCCAGGACGCCGTTTTGTCTTTACTCTTCCTCCTTCCTTCCTCTCCCCTTCCTTCCTCTATCCTCCCTCTCCCTTTTCTTTTTGTGGCTTTTCTTTTCCTCTCCCTCCTTCCCATCCTTCCTATTTTAGCACTCCATATTAAATTGCTATTTCAGGTGATCATGACATCCTTAATATAAAAATCCATTCTTTTTTGCGACTTAATCATCTATATCGTCCTCCCATCTTCGTGACCTTCCGCAGCCCCTGTGGCTATCACTCATAATGGTTGCTGTCTCTCAGGGCTCTGTCTTTGACCTGCATTGTTTCTTACCGTATTTAGGTGATTCTCACACAGTCTCCTCCCATCTTCTACCCAACTCCAGAGGCCAGGAAAACCAAATGCCACATGGTGAAGAACTGTTCTGTCATATGCCAGTTTTCCTCTTGGCCCCACACGCAACCCAAGCTGAGAAACATTCCTCCATTAATTTTCTGGGTGTTCTCTTAGTTTTAGCAATTAGACATTAATGATTCCTCAAGCTCAGGCTTCTCTTCTGAGCCTATTCATCTTAACCGAGAATTCCCAGGCCCTGGAACTCAGTGTATTAATATTAAGACTTAACTCTTAGTCTCCTCTTTTCCTTCTCTCAAAGAACTGCTGATCTTCCAGTCATTCGCATTAGAATACTGGAAGTCGTCCTAGTCTCTTCCTTGTCCCTAGCCTCCCCACATTTAGTTACTCAACATGTCTTGTTCATTTTATCGTCTAAATATTTCTCATTACCCCTTCCTCTTCACTTCTGCAGCCTGTCACAGTTAAGAACTTTAAAAAAGTTCTTCCATCTTTCTTGGGAAACTTTCTCCATCTTTCGTAATTCTGCACTTGCAGTCTCTTCACTAAAATCTCCTTAATAATCTTGATATTTATGTCATTTATTTCGAGGAGGAGCAATTTGATCACTTAGAAAAGTCACACAAGAATGATTTAAACAAAAGATTTTCCTCTCCTACAGATTATCTGTTGGAGGAGGCAGATCGTAGCTTGATGGCAGCCCTGACATCCTCAGTGTCTCGGGCTGCTTCTGCTCCATTCCTCCTCTTTTCTGGACAGGTAGAAGAAGAATTGCAGAAGGAGATTACTCAAAAGGGCATATTTTGCAGTTCATTTAGCTCCCTTAAAAGAGCCTTTCTGGAAATCTTACCTACTGACTTCTGCTTAAATCTTCTTGGCTCCCTGTAGCTGCCTCTCGAAATGTTGCTTACCAGGGCACATTGCCACGCCAGGTATGTGGGGTCCTGTCAGGAAGGAAGGAGGCTGTTGAGAAGGTACTTAGCACTTTGTGCCATACCCTACCCCTCAACAGAATCATACCACCTTCCAAATCATTGTTATTCCCATGATTTTATTATTGTTTGAATTAAGTAGTAATTATTTATTTACCTTCTGCTTGTATGTTTGTATTATCCCTACTATAAATGTCAAGAACTCTGTTTAAAAAAAAAAAAAAAATTAGTGTCTTCAGACTCTACGGTAGTTATTTCTCTGTAAATATTTGTTCAACAAAATCACCTAAATAGGTTAGTAGAAAAGAAAATGACTCCCAAGTTATGAGTCTTAGGCATAGAGTTTAATGGTATCATTCTTTGTGTGAGATATTACAGTTGAGTGACATTTTCTCAAAAGATAGTACAGTCACATTTAGTACACTAAGATTGACTTGGTTTTGATGGACAAACAAGGGTAGGCTGCAGTACAAATAGCCCCATCTTTTCAAGGTATGACATTAAACCAAGAGAAGTGCAAGTAATGTAATTCAAATTAGTTTAGTCTCCTTTATAGAATCATTCTAGCAGACCAAACAGTCTTATAAACTGTGTCTTTGCTCAGATCTTTTCGGTATCCCTCTCTTTAAATTGTTCTCCATTTTTTTTTTTTTTTTTTTTTTTTTTTTTAGTTTCTTCAGTTTAGATCCATTTCTTTGACACATAAGCTCGTTTTGGAAGTTCTGAAACAGGCTTTATAAATGTGCCTCCAGCAAAAGGGGCATTTTAAAAAATATTTAGGCTTATTGTGAGTTACATGTTTTATTTAAATACGCTTTTCTTATTGAAATACTTTTCACTTTATAATTACACAATATTTTTTGGCTATTCTCAGTTCCTTTGCTTTTAGAGAGATTCCTTTTAAATTATAAAAACATTTAGTAATGACAGTATTATTTTCATAAAATAAAAAAATATTAGTTCCTCTAACTGTGGCCCTTGAGGGTATGTAAGGTTTGTAATCCTTCTGTATCCTCAGAACCTGGCCCAGTAGTTTAGGTGAGCAGCGAACAGAAGGACAAAGTAGACTTCCGAGGTGATCCGATCGAGTGTTTCCCAGACCTTAATATTTGCATCCCACCTTCAAGGTTTTTAGTTTATCCATATCATATGTACATGTATTTACTAAGTAAATTTTTAAGTGAAATTTATTTAAGAATAAAATGTATTGGGGTGCCTGGGTGGCTCCGTGGGTTAGGACCTCTGCCTTTGGTTCAGGTCATGATCTCAGGGTCCTGGGATTGAGCCCCACATCGGGCTCTCTGCTCAGCAGGGAGCCTGCTTCCCCCTCTCTCTCTGCCTGCCTCTCTGCCTACTTGTGACCTCTCTCTCTGTCAAATAAATAAATCTTTTTTTAAAAGGAATAAAATGTATTTATTTATCTGGTGCTGTTAGCATAAATGAAAAACTAGCATCAAGTAACACAAATAAGTAATTATAAAATGTTAAAAAACAATGTACGGCCACTGTGGAATGCTTGTGCTTTGTGCGTGCACCACATTGCCAGGGTGGCTTGTGGTATTTGAACACTTTATGCTGGAGACTAAGACATTTACTTTTGCAAGTAATT